GGACTTTCTGATTGAACTAACCCGCATTTGCGTTACATGGGGTGTAAGACCACGAGAACCTCCCACGGTTAGCCTGACGGCAAGGGGACTCTAACCCATGATCCGTTTACCACTGAGGATATTTCACGTCAGCACTGTAGTCGGTGCAATCCGGATGCGGAATTCGTATCGACTGGGATTCGAACCCGGTTCGCCGCATTGGAAGGCGAACGCTCTATCCCCTGAGCCATCGCGGCTACAAGAGTACAATTGGCAATACAATCGCATCGAATTAAACAAGGCAAATTTTTTTATTAGTTTATACTTTAGAATTAAATGTAAATGTAACATTTCGCCTCAAAATATAATTGTTTGGAGAGAACTTTTAAATTTAAAACTAAATTTAAATATCAAGTACTTATCATGTTTTTTCCTAAAGAAATACGTATTGTTTTTCCAAACAACGCATTTGCAAGCGATGCTTTTCCTTATATTTGCAGATTCCACGATAGTACTTAAATAAATTCATTTTTTTATTCTTGTAGCAGCTAAAGAAATTGAACAACTGGATAACTCCTCATAAGAGAAGAAAAGCTGCAGAAATTCTTAGCTAAGAGATCTTAGTAATACAGAAATTTAATAAGCTGTCAATACTAAATAATCGCTTATGCCATACAAAATTCCTAACTCCCGACAATATTTAAAATAATAGCGAAATAATAACTAGGCTTTATTTGCTTAAATTTACCAGAACTTAGGTTTGTTTAAATTTACCAGCACTTCATGGCATCGACTTGGTCCTATGGTCCGATTGCAGCAATCTTTGATTGGAAATAGTCATGTTCAGCTACTTCGAAACCACTTGCAATCATTTATGGACTTCGTGTGTCCAAGCAAAGATGGAATTTTAATGGATAACAATGCGTCCAGTCACCAGGCTTTAATTGTTCGCAACTGGTTCGAAGGACATTCTAGAATATTCCCGCAAGTGATTTAGCCACCTATACCACCTATTGAACTTTAAGAAATATACTAGAGAGGTGAGTTCATGCACAAAACCCTACACTTGCACTTATGGACGTCTATTCAGGCTGCCTGACTGAATACTCCTGCGAAACTTCCAACTATTTATCGAGTAGAGCTAGAAGAGGTCTGACACAATATTATGTATACAATAATATTACATAATATTAAGAGATATCCCACGACTTTTGACACCTCAGAGTATTTTGGCAACAAAACCATAGGTAATCACGTATGTCATTTCAGTATTATTTGATGATTAATAAAAGTGACCACTTCAAATGCCAGACCAGAAAGCAAAACTCATATATTACTGTAATTGTTGTTCATTGTTTTCTATTTTACCATAAAACTTCTTTACTGAAAAATCTATATTAATAACACGTTTCGGGATTTTTTCTATAGTTCAAAAGGAGTAATGGTCCATGCCATTCATATAAATATATATTTTATTCAAAGTTGAAATAAACTTAAGAACATGAAAAATAGTGAGAGATAAAAATATTTAAAATAAATCTTAATTTACTTTGCAAAATGTATTTTAGTTTTCATTAACAAACGACATCCATAACGAATTATCATCTAAGTATTTTATGAAACTAAAATAAAACATATTACCAAACTGTTATAAAGAAATTTATAAATAAAATTATAATTAAAAAAATAACAATAAATTCATCAATTTAACTGATTGTTAAACTTTTTGCCATAACGTAGCGCTGAAAACCGTTTGAACTATAATGTTGTCATTTTCGAGCGCAACGATAAGAGAAAATGTGTCTTTTTATATCATATAAAAAGACAGAGACCGATCAAGACAAATTCAGCCCCAAGGCCCACCAAATTTCTGGATCCCTTACAAAATATTTCCAAATTAAATTACTGAAGAGTAGTCCTAACAATAAAAAAGAATCTACTAAACTGCATGATTCAAGAGAAACATTCTAAGAAATTTTAAAAGCAGACAATTGAAGATTTATTTTTCTAAGAAAAAGTTTACGTTTCTATAAATTAAAGCAAAATATAAAACAACAAAACAATGTTATGTCAGAATAAAAACAGTTTGGTCTTGGTGACCCCAAACAATTGAAATCAGTGATTTTTGCTAAAAGTCACTGATTAGCTGAATTATTTTTTATTGTAAGCTGTAATCATTTTTTATTTAGTACTTAAATCAACACATAGCTAGACCACCTTTAATTAGAGTTTTGACTAATTTTTGAGGCCCCTCAGAAATTGTGGACCCTAGGCCCATGCCTATTGAGCCTAGGCTATAATCAGGCCCTGTTTATATGCTTTAGCATTAGAGTGGAAAGTGTGTATTTCTTTGTGGTCTAAGACCTGCTTTCTAATTTTGGTACTTGGGGGGGGGGGGANTTGGGGGGGGGGGGGAAGATAAGGTTACATAAGAAAGGCTTTAGGCGTAGGAAAAAGAGAAAAACGCCGTCTCTTTACTGTTAGAGGGATTTTTCAAATGTTTTGATCATCCTTTTTTATCTTTTGTTCATCTTATTTTTATTGTTTTGTTTACATGTGCACTGTTTTTATAAAAAAAATAAATGAATAAATAAATTAAAAAACGGCTTCTTTCAGAGTTCCTTCTATTAATCTGCTACGTGGAACTGAAATTGGATAATAATTCTTTTGAATAGGGGAAGGCCTATAATTTCTAAAAAATAATACTGATGACGTGGAACGGAAAGCGGGCAGTTTACACTTTTCCAGTATATCCTATACTAATGTTTCTGAGGTGTTAATTGCCCCTGTCAGCTAACCATTTGCCCGGTATCTCCTACTCTTATGTCTTTCGTTAAGATTAAGTGCCACTGTCAGGCATACCTTACACTGATGTTTTAATAAGGTTAAGTACGAATATCTGGTATACATTTTCCCAGCTACATACGATATCCCGATGTGTTTCAAAGTTAAGAGCCTTAGCCCGGTTTATATTTGCCCTACCGCAGATCATACGCTATTTTTTTCAAGATTAATTGCTATTGCAAAGTATAAAGATTATGATGACTATCCATATAAGCTATTTTGAAATATTCCTTCATTGGTTGAATACTGAAAATTCCTTTCCTAATTATTATTCGTTTATTTATTTTTATTATGTTTAATTTGAATAACATGGGAAAATTCAAAAATGAATTTCAACTTTCGTTCATATCTTAAAAACTCCATCCCATCTCTCCTTTAGAAAAATTTAAGTTCAAGAAGAACAAAGGTTCTGGGGAAACCTCGTTCAGATCTTAAAAACTCCATCCTATCTCTCCTTTAGAAAAGTTTAAGTACAAGAAGAGAAAAGGTTCTGGGGAAACCGCGTTCAGATCTTAAAAACTCCATCCTATCTCTCCTTTAGAAAAATTTAAGTTCAAGAAGAGCAAAGGTTCTGGGGAAACCTCGTTCAGATCTTAAAAACTCCATCCTATCTCTCCTTTAGAAAAATTTAAGTTCAAGAAGAGCAAAGGTTCTGGGGAAACCTCGTTCAGATCTTAAAAACTCCATCCTCTCTCTCCTTTAGAAAAATTTAAGTTCAAGAAAAGAAAAGGTTCTGGGGAAACCTTGTTCAGATCTTAAAAACTCCATCCTATCTCTCCTTTAGAAAAATTTAAGTTCAGGAAGAGAAAAGGTTCTGGGGAAACCTCGTTCAGATCTTAAAAACTCCATCCTATCTCTCCTTTAGAAAATAGTTTAGTGTTAACATTTATTACTATACTAAACACAGTATATCAACAAAAATATGTACGTAGTACATAATTACTTCAACAACTGCTAAAATAAATAGAGCAACAATATTCACCATCTATCCATAACGAAACAAACTCAACAGGAAGTATTGCTATCCTCCTTTGACGTCATAGCAGAACGTGACTATTTATTTTCTTATTTATCTTCTTTTTTTTTCAATCTTCCTTCTTTAATGCATTATTCCACTGAATTCGGCGTTACTGATCTATAGAAAATTTAACCATCTTGATTTCAGAAAACAAATTAGTGTAGAGTATAGAGTAAAATAAAAAAGCAATGCAAGCGAATCTTCTACCGGAAGTTGAAACTATTTCTAGAAATGCTGCTTCCTACCGTTGAGAATACAGTTAATACAAAATCAAATAAAAACTGTGACTTCATATAAAAGTTACTGTTCAATTCATGACGTCATTCTGTCTTCGACGTTGTAAAATCTATATATATACAGTGGCGCTCACGTACTTAAGGACATGTCTTAATGAGAAGTAAAATCCAAAATTTAATGTTCACGCATAAGTTTATTGAATTGATAATTATGTATTGGAACAAATAACTTATTTTTAATATATTTTCACAATGAAAATCATTTATCTAACTGTTATACTTAAATTATGTAACATTTTAGAAAAAATATGCATTCCGCATATTTAAGGACAACAAAATAAATATTTCTTAATCGTTAATAAAATTAATAACAATGTAAAAAATGTAATAAAAAATAAAAATTTAGAGCTAGTATTTAGTCGGTAAGCCTTTTGCGGCAATTACTGCTTCACATGTACGAGGCATCGAATCTACTAATCTTTGACATCGCTCAGGAGGTATATCTGACCAGCCTTCTTGGACGCATTTCCATAAATCACCTAAATTTTTTGGTTTCTGCTGTTTCACATATTTATCCACATCTATCCACAGCATCTCGATCGGGTTGAGATCTGGTGATTGGAAAGGCCACAGCAAAACCTCAATTTTCTTGCTTGACAAGAAGGCCTTCGCAGTTTTGCTCGTGGGCTTTGGATCATTATCGGCTTGCATGATTGGTTTTCTTGAGCGAAGTTTCCTGTTATAAGGCAGAAAAACAGTCTTGATAATGCCTACATACACATGCTGATACATGATGCCTTCGATTTTGTGAATTGGACCACATCCTGAACGTGTCATGGCACCCCACACCATCACCGAGCCGCCTCCACCTTTTACAGTTGATTTTGTACACCGTACATTAAATTCTTCACCAACTCGACACCTCACATAACTTTTGCCATTTGAACCCATTCTGTTGAACTTCGATTCGTCTGTAAATATAACTCGATCCAGTCAGCCGATGTCCAGTTTCGGTGTCTTTTTGCAAAAGTTAATCGAGCTGCTATATTCTTCTTTGACATCAACGGTTTTTTCCTACATACGCGACCCATAAGCCGAAACTCATTTAAACGCCGTTTGATGGTATTATTGCTTACGTGCTTGCCTGTTAATTCAGCGAATTCTCTTCTGCTGTCCGGGGCGGTTTTGTGACGATCAGCTTCAGAAATTCGATGAATAATTCGATCTTCTCGTTCGGTAGTTTTGCGAGGACGTGGTTTTCGGGGTGCTTTTTCAATATTTTTGGTCACTTGAATAGATTTCAATGCTTGGAAAACTGCTGTTTTTGATAATTTTAACCGCCTACCAATTTCTCTAATACTTAAACCTTCTTTTCTCAGAGTATCTATTCGACATCTCTGTTCATTGCTAACATTTTTTTCTTTACTCATAATAATGTTGAAATTTGTGCTAAAAAATTAAGTAAAAAAATTTATATAATGTTTTAATGCATCAAACAAAGATAATGTAGTAAATTACACTTACATTGATCGATAAATTGATTGTAATCATTCAATAACTCATGATTAAACAAACTGTCCTTAAGTATAAGAAACTTAACAAAATACTATATTTTTTAAACAAACTTTTATGAAACACTTGTGAACACGAATGAATTATTTGAGGATTGAAGTTCAACTAAGGTAGATATCGTCATTATAGATATCTTGATCAAAACATAATATTCATTCAATATAATGACGCATTTATTTTGAAAACATAGTCCTTAAGTACGTGAGAGCCACTGTATTTCTCTTACACGGCGACAAAAAAAAGCCTCATTTCAACTCCCCGAATGGCAACGCTAGAAAATCGACTAATGATTGCAACTAAAAATGTCACATGCCAAATCTAGCTGAGATGGCTCAACATAAAGTGCTTTTAAAAACGGAAACTGAAATAACCA